CTGCCTGAAAGCAGGGGGCTCAGAGTGAGTGATGCTATTTCCTGCAGACCTCAGCACTGGCACCTACAAGCCCCATCGTGTTTTAATCAAGCTTTACTCACCCGCAGAGTGAAGAGAGAGAGAAGATAGAGAGAGAGAGAGAGAGAGAGAGAGATAGAAGAGAGAGAGAGATAGAAGGCCAAAGATAGATGAGAGGAGAGTAAAAACCCCCCAGGGAATTCTTCCCTCTCTCTCATCCTTCTGCCTATCTTTCATCCTCCTATCTTCCTCTCCCTTCTATTCTTCTCTCTAGTTCCTCCTCTCTCTCTCTTCTCTCCCCTTCCCCCTCCCTTCTTTCCCCTCTCTCTCTCTCCCTTCTCCTCCCCCTCTTTCTCCCCTCTCTCTCTATTCTTTCTCTCTCTGTTTTCGCTCTACTCTCTTCTTTGATCCCCTCCCTTCTCCTTCTGGCTGTCTGCCTACCCGTGTCTACGATTCGAGCCCCCCCGGGGCTCCCTTTTCCCCCTCTTCTCCCTTTTGTCTGACAATTTCCGGGCGGGGCCCCAAAAAACGCCGGGGCCGAGTAGGGGTTGGGAGGGGTCAGGGGGTAAGAGGTGGATGGGGAGGCAGAGGGAACGTGACTTAGGGGTTAAAGGTTTTTAGCGCCGACTAGTAAGGAAAAAGGGGAAAATGGGGGAAGCAGGGGTAAAAACAAACCAGCGAAGGGGGGAAAGAGCAAAAAATGGGGGGAAAATAGGGGCAGAAAAGTTTGTGATGAGAAGAGAAAAAGAATGGAGGGAAAAAGATTTGGATAAGGAAAGGGTTTTTAAAAAAATAATGAAAGGGGAGATAAAAAGGGTGGAAAAGGTGTAGAAAACCCCGCCAAAAATAAAGGAATTTTTTAGGTTGTAAAAAAAATTTTTCACCGATGCAAAAAAAATTTTTTGGGGGGTGAGGAAAAAAAAGTGGGAATTGGGGGGGAAAAAAAGGGAAATAAATTTAAAAAAAACCCCCAAAAAAAAAATTTTTTGCCCGTGGCCCCAAAAAAAAATTTTTTTACCGGCTTACAAAATTTTTGGGGGTTTTTCCCCCCAAAAAAATTTTTTAAAAAAAAAATTTTTAAAAAAAAAATTTTCCCCAAAATAAAAGGGGGGGGAAAAAATTTTTCCCCCTTTTAATAAATTTTTGGGGTCTAAGATTAAAACTGAGAAGCCTCTATATTAGGGGAGAGTGAATAGATGGGAAAGGGAGGTATTGAAGATGGAGAGGGGAGGAGGGGACAAAATTTGGTGAGGGAGATGATAGAAAGAACGTTTGTTAATTGAGAATGCAAGGAGCTAAGGTGAGGAATAATTGGAGGGTGGAAGATAGAGGGGGACAACAAGCAAGAAAACGATAGGAGATAAAACTGTCCGAGAGACAGAGAGAGAGAGGCAGGTAAAACAGTCAAGTAAAGCGATAAACAGCAGTGAAAGGAATAAGTGTTTGTCTGAGGTGTTGACAGACAGAGAACCCAAAACAGGCACCCTGACTGTGACAGTGCATACTAATCAAATGGATTTGGATTGGTGGATTGGTGGATTGGTCCAATAGCAACCTGATGTGTGATTATGCAGCGATGGGAAGATCAAACAGCGGTATGTAAATTAGGAGCTGTCAGACAAGACATGTAGTCTGGCATACCAAAGGAGAATGTTGCTGTGCTCAGTGCTCAGTATTCAAATCTACTTCCTGAGGGACAGACGCTATCATCTTTCCCATGCCAAAATGTGTTTGTCGAGTATGCCCCCCCCCTCCACCTTTTATATTCAAATCAATAGGAGAGGGTTGTGTGTATGACTTGCTTTGGGTTTCACTTCGGTTCTCAATATACATGTATATATTTTTTGTTGATCAAAGCCTTGCATGGTTATGGTATTACTTTTTAGGTAAGACATATTTTTGATGCCCCCTAAGGATGGAAAATAACATCCTTTTAAACCCCCCTCCTCCATATTCCAACCCCTTTAGACAGAGTTGCGTCCCAAGTGGCACTCTATTGCCTTTATAGTGCACTTCTTTTGACCAGGGCCCTCTGATCAAAAGTAGTGCACTTTAAAGAGAATAGGGTGCCATTTGGTACATATCCTAAATATCACACCCTGTTCACATATCTCTATTGCAGGTAATACAGTCATTTTCACTTCACACTCACTTCTATGCTAACTGCCTTATTTCTTCCATTGCCAATTATTCAGTGGTTTGAAAAAAGTATATACTGTATGTTCATAGTATATAGGTTTTGTCTCAAATGACACTTTACTCCCTATATAGTGCACTACTTTTGACTAGAGCCCCTGGTCAAAAGTAGTGCACTATATAGTGAGTATGGTGTCATTTCGGCCAAAAACAGAGCCCTTTTCACTTTTAGCTTTGCTTTACTGCCTGTTTCCTTTCTTGCTAATGATTCAATGTTCTGAAAACAATCTATATATTTATACAGACGTAGGATCTTAATTTGACCTACAGTATATTGTCCCGGCAAAATAGTCCTGCAGCAACAGGATTTGAATGTTTAGTTCATAATGATGCTTGATCGGTGGTTTGGCTATTAGCTGGCCAAAAGTAGGCTACATGAAAAGTGCAATACTGTTAATATAACCGTGTGTTAGTGTGGGGTTTCAGTGAATTTATGTAAATTACAAATCTCATCTGCATTTCCTGCAGTGTAGGAAAATCCTCAGCAACAAAAGAGTGATCAAATTAAGATTCTACATCTGTAGCATGAGCCAGCACTGGCTATGTGTGAAATGAGTGGGTGGATGGAGAGAGATATAGAGGCTCCTTTGCTTTGATCAGTTGAAGGGTTTCTCACACGGGATCATGGAAAGTGACAACAACATATGCTCAACTCTGCTGCTGCGTCAATAATGAGATATATCAGTGTATATCAGAAATAGACATACAAAAATAAATAGTATTTCAGTGACTGCTTATACAAGAAGGACCAATGAGGAGGAGATGGAGATGGCATGAACAGTTGCTGCTGTAAGCAACAGGCAGGGTGGTCATCAGAGAGCCATGCTAGAATAGACAAAAGTGACAATACTCATTCATAGCTAATAAGCAAGCATGGTTTCTAGGGTTAGGGTTTGTGAATAGAAGATGTTGTACTTCCGTCGTCTACAGCATGGTCAGATAGTGACGACCCACAGACACACAGTAGTTCCACGGCTCCACTGGCTCACCACAGGCCTTGGTCTCATCTTCAGCCAGGGGAGATTGTGTTCACTTTGACATTAGAGCCATCGATCCACAGTCTCCTATAACCTTAATATGAGAGTCTGGTCAATACGCCCCATATCATCTACAGCTCATCCCCATGGTGCCTTCTCTTGTCTGGAGAATAGTGACTCCATTCCAGGGCTGCGTTCCGAATGGCATCCTATTCCCTACATAGTGCTATACTTTTGACCAGAGCCCTATGGACCATGGTCAAAAGTAGTGCACTATATAGGGAATAGGGTGCCATTTGGGTCGCAGACAAAGAGGTGACAATAATAGAGATGTCTGCTGAGAAAGGACATGTCTTGTGTGACTCTTCCGGAGGCCCAGACTTGACACAATCTGATAACTGATCAACCCTCTGTATTTTCAAGTATTTTGGTGGCAGCATCATGTTATGGGTATGCTTGTCACCTGCAGGGACTGCGGTTTATCAGGATCAAAATAAATATGAAAGGAGCAAAGCCCAGGTAAAAAGTTAGACGAAAACCTGCCTCAGTCTTCTGAATACCTAACCCTGGGATAGAGTTGTATTTTTCAGTGGGACAATGAACACATTTTAATGCCAAAGACACATCAGAATGGCTTTCCAAGAGGTGTTGAGTGTTCCTGAGGGGTACAGTCTCAGTCCTGACTTAAATCTGCTTGAAAATCAGAGACAAGGTTTGAATATTGCTGTCCATCAATGATTCCCAAACAAATTTACAGAGCTTGAGCAATTTTGACAAAAACAATGGCTATATGCCCTAAGAGTTATGCAGGGTTGGTAGAATCTTATTACAAATGATTTACTGCTGTAATTGCTGTCAAAGTTGCTTCCACAAAGTATTAACCCTGGGAAGTGAAGACATGCAATCAAGACATCTTCATTTTTTATTTTTTATTCATTTAAAAAATGTTATTTCCTTTTTCCTTCACTTTGAAAATGTTAAGCAGGTTGTGTAGATCAGTAGGAAAAAAATCAAATTAATCATTTTTTAGATTTAATTTTAAGTCAGCAAAAACAGTGCAAGGGGTGTGTAGCAGTCATAACCACAGACAGGAAGGTGGATGTCAGTGATAAGGCCACTGCAAGTTCTTGCAGCAACTAACTACAGCTCTGAAAGAACACCCTGTTCTTTAGCCGAGGTGCTGGTCAAAAAAAAATCCACAGCGGTAGAGATGAGTGTGCGACTTCCTTTAGAGCCCTGAAAGGAACCATGGCTCTGGTCAAAAGTAGTGCACCAAATAGGGAAAAGGGTACTATTTGGGACACAGCCCATGGATTCTCTCCAACGGCTCCTGTCACCGAACATTTTATTTACTCTGGCAAAACCTTTCAAAAGCTACTTAGTGTAATAAAAGAGCAAAGCTTTCCAGACTGCATCAGGGCTGATGTATCGACTTTCTATTGATTAGGCTCATAAGGAGGAAATATGAGGAAACTTTACATCTGTTCATCAGCAATTTCTGTAAAATGTGGAAAACACACAAACCAAGCAGACATGACACACAGAAACACTAGACTCAAGACAACAGGATGACACTGTGTTAGTTAGTTCCTCTCCTCTCGTTAGTGTGCATGTTTGAGATTGACTGACTACATTGCAGTCGGACTGCTCAGAATCACTGATATACAAATCCCTTTGCATCTCAAATAACTTCTCATTATGTGATCAAGATGAGTGATTCTGAGCCTCGCCTTCCGCAAACTGATCACTTCTAACAATTTATTGCAAGGCCCGTTTGTCCATGTGAGTCATGCAACCCCAAACTATCACCTTTGACCCTGAACAGGACTGACCTTTGACCTCTGAGGAGAACTGGGCGGAGTGTCGCGTCTCGAAGAGCTGCAGCTCCCTGTTCAGGTCGCACAGAGTCAGATCGATGTCCCAAGACCGCACCCCTGTTAACACACGATAACAAATGTAGCATGATGCACTATATTACCCATAATTCTCTATAACCATACAACAAACACATTACTGTTGGAGTAGAAGTGCCTGTCTAGGGGCTGATTTCTGTCACGTGACCTAATGAACATGACCCTGCTGGTTGTTATTGCTCCTTGGCACTGATTGGTAGATTTCTACTAATAGGCTGGAGAGGGCCTTCACCATCTTAATCAACCACTGACTCAAAGTCATGGATTAAAAACCATTCAACACCATGGCCTTCCTTCGAGCACTGGGAATGGATAACCCCTAATGTACAGTAACATCGGAAAATTACTGGGTTGGCAAATAACCCCTTGTAGGAAGATGATTGTTATTAATATTGGCAGTTATATGATGAACCTTATTACGCCCCCTGTAAATGGTGAACTACCCAGTATGCAAGCTGTTTCCCTGTTGTGAATGATGCCAGTTCTCATTTAACAGAGTGTCCATTGGCACAGGAAGAGACATCAGTTCAGGGTTTGTGTTTTTTCTTGATTGGCCAGTGTATTGCCTCAACCTTATTCTATTCAACGACCTGTCACAGTTTTCTCTAGAATAATTTAACATCATGTTTTTTTTGTCTGGGATTATTTCCAGTCATCTATATTCCAGTGTTTCAGATAACCCAGTAGGGCCTATTGATTTCACATTTGCAAATTCTTAGTTATTACAGCCAACTGCAATAACTATGGAGAATAATCCATTGCAAACTATAAAGAGTAATTAAACTCTTTATACCAGAAACACTGCAGTCATTCAGGATATCACATACTGGTACAATAGTTTTGTGTTCCGTATTGCTATATTCAGCCCTATAGGGGGCTATCCATCTGGTGCAGTGTCCTCTATGTATGCATTACCAAACAGCTCTGCTCAATCTGAAATCTAACTCACTCATACTGCAGCCTGTATTTGAGATATAGGCATCATCCGCTCCCTTTTTGATCCGCTGCAATGGATTAATTAGATGACAATATTCCAAACAAAGTCACAGCTTGTTCTAAAAACCAATTTGGTTAGATTTTTGTCATACATTTTAATATTGCAAGTGCAGGCCAATGCATAGGGGTCAAGCCTCTGACATCTAAACAAACCACATTTTTACATAAAACAACATCTTTGTGGGTAATCTTGAACTTGAACAGTTTAGAAAGATGTGTAAAGACTTATAATACCCTGTCAAGTAGCCCACTCACCCTGTTTTATGTGTTTTTTGGCAGACTGAAGGTGGTGGTCCGTTGAGATTTCTCCGATAACTATCAGCATGTAAAATCTCCCGTGGTTAAACGGCGGTCTGGTCCTATGGTGCTGTCCACGGTGCTGAACGGGTAGGGTGGGCTCGCGCTGCTCCTCCGGCTCTCCTGGCGCTACAGAGAGCGATGCTGCTGCAACAGGGATTTCCATGGCAACAGCAAAGGAGCGGATGCTGGCTCCTTTTCCATCTCCATGACAACTGCATCCGGTGGCAGCACAGTGCATGAGGGAGGGTTGGGGGAGGATCGGTGGGTGTGGCTTGTGAGGGAGACGCGATTTGATTGGTGCAGGGATATATGGCTATTTGATGTCACAGCACGCCATTGGCCAAATCCGAAATGGAGGTTATGAGAATGTTTATCAATTTGATCTGAATCGACTTTCATGCATAGGTAGTGGTGATGATGATGATGATGATGAGTGGTATACTATATGGTCCTCCTCATTTGATACATCAATAATTTAGTTAACAGACTTAAGATAGAAAATACAAAATGGGTAAAATAAACATGGCTGTAAACCACCAGCATTAGGGCTACTAAAACTAGTCCTGTAGTTTCCTAATAGGCCTACCCACCTAATATCTTAGGAAACATCTGTTCCTGTAAGACTGTCTTTGATATATCTGTGTCTGGAGAAACTGAAGTTGTTTTTCTTGAATAAATAGGTCTATTTATATCACTGTCCCTGGATGTACCACCAGGAGATGTTGCCAATAGACTACCACACTGACACCTCTTTGTTCCCTCCCTGAACACAACAACCCTTCATCTGTGCAGAGACGTTGACAACAAAAGGCCTCAGAGACGAAGTGGAATAGAATACATTTTTTAAATGTTCATGTATTACATTATCTCCTAAAATAGCTGGAAAATAACCAAATTAGCTACAGAGGGGAAATGCTGGCCTGAAATGACCAGAAATTGGAGGATGTTCATTGAGTTCTCCACTTATCATGTTTCATAACAGGAAACTCAGTTGTTGTGGGACAAAAATGATCAGTCCGTCTTGAATCAGGATGCTTATTAGCCTACAGATACAGTACAAATACATTGACCTTTGCTTTGGAAAGTGAGAACTAAATGAAAAATAGTAAGAATTCATTATTTTCACCATTGATTGACAATAATGAATTAAAACATGTTGTTTGCCCTCATAGTAGGCTTATGTAACTCATATAGTCACCCTATGACGGAAACATTTTGGTGGAGATGAAATTCAATCCAGAATATACCATTTATTTCAGATTTCGATCTGTTTTGATTGTCATTTTAAGGCCATTTTGAAATGATAATTTAAAGACCAAAATCACTGTTTGACTTTGACCCTTATCTTATAGTTGGCACTAGATATCGTACTATAGGTTCAGTTTCTATGTCTGTTAATGACCATGTATAGGTGGTTCAGCAGCTATATGACCAGGAGCTTTACGTCATAGAAGCTCCCCAGAGAGTACCTATGCACTGCACCAATCAGCCCAATCTAGGCAATTATCCTAAAAAGAGAGGGAGTGGAGAGGGTGGAGGACAGGAATGGACAGAATTGGGGTGTAAGACAAAGATTTACACAATTTGGCATGCATGTCATGCTCAGGATATGAACAGCTGCCTTTCAGAACATAAATCATTGGTGAGTTATATATAAATTCGCCCCATGGAGGTTTCGTTTGACAACCTATACCACACGATCTAATCTGAATATGAAGGGACGTCTCGTATTTTATAATTCACTTGATTGATCTCTGATCTGACGTTCAATATTTGACTGTATTATCAATACATGTATGAAGAGTTTAATTTGGAGCTTTGAAAGGACACAGCAAGTCGGGAAGAGATTGTATTAGTATTTATTATTTTATTAGTATCTCCATTAGCTGTTGCCAAGGCAGCCGCTACTCTTCCTGGGGTCCAAACAGGAACATAACAACACATCACAACAAAACAATAGTCTACATCATAAATACAACAACACATTGTGCACTATACAAATGTTCACTGCTCCACCATTACAAATGTACAATATAAAATGTACAATATTACAACAATACAATATTACAACAATACAACAATACAATATTAAAATGTGTGTGTGTGTCTTTTGATCTTAATGTGACAGGAAGTATGATCAGAAACAGGTTTTTGACATTGAAGTGAGACTTTAAACCATAACATACAAAGAAAACAATATTTGCAAACAAGGATATTTGTAAACAGGAAGCAGTAGACGTATAGCCATTCACTGTCTTTTCACATGGTGGCATTTTATTCACTCTAGCCTTCCTCCATCGATCCATTTACATGTGCATGGATGCTTTCACCTTATATATCTAACAAGCACACCTCAGTGGGCTTTAGGTTGCTCTAAGGCTGCTGTTTGTGTTTAGAAGGAGCCTGTCGGATGGTGACGTCTCCTGCAGCAGTGATAGATGGCTGGGGTTGTTTATACACCAGGACCCTTCTCTGGAGTAAATCTCCCTCCTCTCAGCAGCACAGTGGTTCTGTCCCAAATGGTAACCTATTCCCTATTTAGTGCACTACTTTTAACCGGAGCCCTATGGGCCGTGGTGAAAAGTAGTGCACTATGTAGGAAATAGGTTGCCATTTGGGACATAGTCAGCCAGTGTTACATCCCTCAATGAGTCAGCACTCCTATTGATCTCACACTGAGACAGGCCTGAGCCAAAGATCCTCTCAAACGGAACCTGCTGTGCTCGTGAACAAGAGTATCTACTGCCATCTGCAGGATTAAATGAGAACACTTTTGGTTTGATCGCTTATAAAAGAAGATTCCTTCAAAATAAGTGTAATATTAAGTCTATTAATTGACTAATAGACAAATCAGTGCCATAAATTAGAATATTAATGTTAATATTGAATGAAGTAAAAGATTGTTACAATGTTGATTGGTACGCAGGATATTTCAGAATGTGGTTTAGGTTGCACACAGTTAAAGCACAGACCAAAACTAACATATTGGGGTTGACAATAGTTTCAATGTTTTTAAAACAGTCCCGTAGGCCAGTAGCCTCTTACAAGCTGGCGAGATCAGGATGGTTCGTACGAGGCTAGTAGGCCAGTGGTTCCCAACCTTTTTCGCTTACTGTACCACCAACTGAATTTCGCTCTGCCAGGAGTACCCCTGAAGTACCCCCTCATGTGCATTTTACCAGTAGGCCTATGGTATCATGATTCAGATACAGAGTGTTTAATAGTCACATGTACAGGGTTGCAGGTGTGATTGCAGGGTATGGGGGGAATGACCATATGGGGAGCAGCATAACCATTGAGGGGATGTGGGGACCAAGTTAAATAAAAACAATAAACATTATAATAAAAAATCAATAATATACACTGAACAAAAATATAAACCACCTGTTGCTCAGTTGGTAGAGCATGGCGCTTGCAACGCCAGGGTTGTGGGTTCGTTTCCCACGGGGAGCCAGTATGAAAATGTATGCACTCACTAACTGTAAGTCGCTCTGGATAAGAGTGTCTGCTAAATGACTAAAATGTAATGTAAAGTGTTGGTCCCATGTTTCATGAGCTGAAATAAAAGATCCCAGAAATTGTCCATACAAAAAAAATAATGCTTATTTTGCTAAAATTTGGTGCACAAATTTGATTACATCCCTGTTAGTGAGCATTTCTCCTTTGCAAAGATAATCCATCCAACTGACAGGTGTGGCATATCAAGAAGCTGATTAAACAGCATGATCATTACACAGGTGCACCTTGTGCTGGGGACAATAAAAGGCCACGCTAATATTTGCAGTTTTGTCACACAACACAATGTCACAGATGTCTCAAGTTTTGAGGGAGCGTGCAATTGGCATGCTGACTGCAGGAATGTTCACCAGAGGTGTTGCCAGAGAATTTAATGTTCATTTCTCTACTATAGGCCGCCTCCAACATCATTTTAGAGAGTGGGTAGCTGACTAGTGGTGGCTATTCAGCAGCCTGATGGTCTGAGGGTAGAAGCTATTGGCCATTTCCAGTTTTTACCATGATGCTCCGGAGTGATTTAAACGGGGAGAACAGGGTATGGCTTGGGTGGATAGGGTCCCTGATGATCTTCTTGGCCTTCCTGCAACACCTGGTGTTGTAGGTGTCCTGTAGGGCCGGCAGTGTGCATCCAATGGTGCGTTCGGCTGCACGTATCATCACCCTCTGAAGCGCCTTACGGTCCGCGGTGGTGGAGTTGCCGCACCAGGCTGTGACATAGCCCGACAGTATGCTCTCGATGATGCTCCTGTAGAACACTGTGAGGATCCTCGGGGACAGGCCGAATTTCTTCAGCATCCTGAGGTTGAAGAGTCGCTGTCGTGCCTTCTTCACCACGGTGTCCGTGTGGTTAGACAATTTCAGCTTCTCTGAGATGTGTACGCCAAGGAATTTGAAGTTATTAACCATCTCCACCGCTGCCCTGTTGATGAGGATGGGGGCGTGTCCAGACTGGTTCCTCCTGAAGTCCACAATCAGCTCCTTTGTTTCGCTACGGTTGAGGGAGGGGTTGTTTACCTGGCACCACGCCGTCAGAGTGCCTACCTCCTCCCTGTAGGTCTCGTCGCTGTTGGTAATCACGCCTACTACTGTTGTGTCGTCAGCGAACTTGATGATGGAGTTGGAACTGTGAGGCCACTCAAGTACCCCTGGTTGAGCACCCTGGATTTTACAATTCTAAAATCTGTGAATCAGACAGCCTAAGTACATTGAATAAATTGGATTCCCAAACTTGAGCTGTCCAAGTAGGCTACATCATATTTTCTTCTGAATTCGATATTCCATAAACCTGTACCATAGAGCTAATGACAGTACAAAATAGTTATAGAACCAAACACAGCATTACCCTACTTTTATTCTTTTAGTACACATTTTTTTAATGGTCACTTTGCCAAAAGTGATGAAAATCTAGCCTAACATAATTATGTGATCAACATTTTAGATCTATTCAAAGTAGATCTAAAATCTACTTTGATCAGTCTATAATTTTTATGGTAGGTTTATTTGAAAAGTGAGAGACAGAATAACAACAACAAAAATCCAGAAAAACGCATGTCAAAAATGTTATAAATTGATTTACATTTTAATGAGGGAAATAAGTATTTGACCCCCTCTCAATCAGAAAGATTTCTGGCTCCCAGGTGTCTTTTATACAGGTAACGAGCTGAGATTAGGAGCACACTGATTTTGTACGTTTGCCCACTGACAAAGAAATGATCAGTCTAT